TGGCAATCGTTGAAGTGTTCAGTGAACAAAGAAACTGGATCAAAATGACTTCATTTTTAAAAAATTGTCTTTTAATGTGCAGGTTATGAAAATTTTTGGTTTAATATTTGATAAAAATCGGTACGGTAATCGACTTTTTAACAGTGATTTCGATTGCTCAGTCTGCACCTGCATGCAACCACAGACTTCTCTATTCAAGCAAATTTCCAACCTGAGTAATCTATTACAATTAGCGAAAGACAATCGTAGTTCACCGCACTGTACTAAACAAGCCATTCTTAGGAACGGCTTAACAGACACTTAATTTTTGTAAACTCTTTATTGTAAATAATTTTATTCAATCAAACTTATGCTTTAATGATACTTTGCACTAATAAGACTGTGTCAACACAGTTGGACCCTTTAGGTGCACTAAGCTTCACCAATTAACTCTTCACGGTCTGAGTTATCAACGGTATTCTGCCTGCTTTCACTGTTTCTCGCTCTTACACAAGAATCTGAGATCACAGCTGGAAAATTCTTTTATTTAATCCAAATCAGTACCGTCAACAAGAAAGTTAATTCCCTAAACCTACTTTAGCTCGCTGTTAAAAGCTGTAAAATACTACTGCTAGGGTTGATTAATTTTGAACCAGTACACCAGAACCATTGTTTTTACCTCTGCTTCACCTTTGTTTGCATGATGACAGTAGGGATGTTCGGAGCTAAATAGACAGCATGAAAAACGTAGATAGCATATAGCGTAAACGATACGCATTTTAACAATGGCTACTGTAAATGCTTAAAAATCACTCGTCTTCTCAACCAACATCCACCTTAACACTATCAGCAAAACCAACGGCAGTTTCTCCTTTGTCCAACAAATTATTTAGGCCATACAGATTAATCTGTAAAGTTGCTGGCAGTATGACGCAATTTTTTGCTGGTTCTGAAAATTTCTGTGCATCCAAAAGCATCAGATCCCTCAAAAAAAATTTCGGTATACGATTTAAAAAAGACAACTTGAGCTGCACCTTATCCAAAAATGACCAATCACAAGATTTAAATTGATAAATCCCTAAGAGTGCTACAAAAGTACCGTCCAGAATACTAACTAATCTTCTACAGTCCGCATCTATAATTGACCCTGAATATCACTCCCGTTTTAGGGTAACGGTTACATCAATGTATCTGATCTACGTGACATTCTTCGTGCCCTGGACGACAATGTATCTGAAGAGGAACTTGACGAACTAATTGCAGAAATTGATAGTGATGGTTCCGGAACTGTCGATTTCGATGGTAAGCCAATATACAGACACCGAATTCGCTACTTTCTTTTTCTGCAGTTTAAAGCTACCAATTTTTCTGATCAACTTATCATACAACAAAAACGCCACCAAAAACTACTTTAAAGAATCTTATCTACACTAATAGTTCTTCTTACAGAATTCATGGAAATGATGTCTGGCGAATAACTTGTTCTCAGTATTCCACAACTTTTATAAAATTACTCCCTAAAAAATGCATTCACAGATAATAAAACTATAAATAAAAGAATTGTCATTCGTAGCACTACATTTAACTTATGGCAGCAGCACAAAAAAGAAAGACAACTTCAAGATCACAGACCAAAAGCACGACAGAAACTATAAAAAAAATTGGCTCTGAACCGTATGCCAAAGTTTCAATTAAAGATAAGACCCGAACAAGACCTAAACAACCAACAAGTGCTAAAAAACAAAACAGCAGAAAAAAAAAACAAAAGCAGATGAAAACAGACGACAAAAGCAGAAGATACTGGGAAAAAACAGGCTACAGCTAGCCAAATTTTTTTAGCGTTATTGGTCAAAGATGGAATAATTAAAAGAACAATAGCCAAATCAAAAAACAAATTATTAGTCACTGCAGTAGTAAACTTCTGCCTAGATATCAAAATCAAATGGAACCGCAGAGGAGTTAAAGATATCGACAATCTTCTCGGCTGCTCAGGAAATGGAATTCATGCTGTACTTTAGAAGTAAAATGACTTTACTACATTGTACAGTAATGCATCTCACAGACGCTTATGACTGCCATGTGTCTTTTTTAAAATTATGTCCCCGACCTGCTTTTCCCTTTATAAATGTTTACAATCCAATCAAACTCCTCAGTAAAAATTATCCTTAAATAATTGTAACCGCTAAAATATACTTGTTTAATCAACTAATACGAGCAAAAATTTCACTGCTCAATTTTCTCATCTACCAATTCTCGACTGGTCTCGTTGTTGTTCATTTCATGCACCGAAATGAATAACGGCGAATAATTAACATCACGAACGCTCATCAGATGATACTTCCGTAGATGAAACGCAAAGTTCGCCCTATTCCTAAAGTCTTTTTTGCAAGAATCGCACGTTATCAATGTGTTACCTAAATGTAAACCAACATCAAAATACAATCAAAAACGCAGAGAAAGTACTATACGATTAACTTCAAAACTAAGCTGAAAATTATATTACATCAAAAAACATTTTTGACGCTGTTAACCACCGTAAAATTTTGTTTCCCGAAGAGGTACATTTCAGTAAAAGAAAAAGTAAGACTATGAGAAATCCAGAAATGAAGTAAAACTGTAAAACTTTTACACCTTTATGTAGTATACTGGTACAAATGCAGCAAAAACCCGCCTTTCAATCGGAATGACTTAACACCATATCAGAACTGAACCTCCCAATAAATAATTTAATGAAAATAAAACCCATTCTGTTTAATAAAATCACCGTACTTTCGTGAGACGCAGAATGTTGCCGTAATCCAGAAGCAGTACGAAATCTTCTTCCACATTCCAAATTCTCACAAATAAATTTATATTCTTCTTCTTCGCTACGTGTTAGTATATTATGAAACCGTATCCTGTGGCGCCTCAATTCTTTCTCTCTGTGAAATTTCTTTTTGCAATCGACCACCGAACAAGAGAAGCGGCGACTATTCTCACCTGTTAACAACACTAATTATACCCCACTTGGATGTTTTGTACCTGGCTCCATTCTAATGCCATCCTACGTCATAAATAAGAAGATAATTTAGAAAGTGAAAAGACAGAGCGCTGGCAACAAACTTTTAAAGTTCCCAAATACTAGTTCAAAAAAAAATGTTGTTTTTTTACTGTTTAAACTAAAAAATGTCTAACAAAGAATTGATAAGCTGTGCTGTACAGACTAAATGAAAAGCAAACTCATGGTTCTTACCGTTTTCACAATTAATTATTGGCTGTAGACCATCATTAGCTGACGGCTCATTATCTGTACCTCCAAATGGCTGATTCAAAATGACGTGATTTGTAGTAGACTCAGCAGTAGTGGCCGGAACATCTGACGTTAAAAAAAGAGCTGACGAAAAATCAGAAAAGTAAAATGTAAAGACACTACACACCAGCCATCTAGTTGGAGAAATTCTTTTACAGATGTCACGTTATAAAACAATTCAAAAAACTTTTTTCCTAAAAATTTACCTGCTTCCGCTAAAGAACTGCAAGAAATTGAAGATGACAAATCATCGGTACATTCCGATCCATTATTTTCCAAAGGCGAGTTTTCCCAAACCTCTTTGGTTTTTTCGAACCTCTTGGCATTTGTGCTCAACCCCAACGATCTCCTGATATTTTTAAGCGAAACGACATCATGCTGAACAGTAATATTTTTACCCTCATGTACTTCTCGAATGTGCTTCTTCAGCCTGCAGTAGGAAAAAAAGGAATAAGACCAAAAGACACAGAAGTAAGAAAACGTTTAGAGGTTTAAAAATTAACAAAGACAGTTAATAAAAAGCATTAACATTCTATAAGCAACTGTCATGCTACAACCATCGATCGTACACCGCACACCATTCTCATGGTTCACTGTGATATGCTTTTTCAGTTCAGCTTTAACACTGGACGAGTAAGCGCATATTGGACAGTTATACCGAATTTTATGGGCATGAGCTACATGAGCTCTCAGCTGATTAAATCGATCAAATCTCGCTTCGCAGTGGTCACAAGCGTGTGAAACTAGAAGGCAAAATTATTATTCAAACTCAACAACAGTGCACTCAAAGTCCATGAAAGTAGAATTCCAGAGAAAAACCTTCTTAACAGGCGAATAAAAAAAGTAACCTGGTTCTAATATTGACTGCTGCAATTAAATGGAAGAAAATGAACTCAACAACATACAGGAGTGAGATGACTGAATATGATTGCGAAGTTTGTTCGGGAAAGAAAATGCTTTAGAACATTCCGGACACACATGGCGCTTTAATGCCTTCCTTTCCTCTTTCTTTTGAACTTTCACATCCTTGCCCATCACCCTGGCACAAAACACAGTCTGAACTTCTGAATTCTTAGTGACTCCAGCTGCAGTTGGTTTAAATTTTATAAAAAGAAACGAGCACTTTTCAACCAACAACAGTAGAATTAAAAATCTAAAGTGAATAACTCTTCTAGCGTGTTCCAAGAACAGCCAAGCCTAATTTTGAAGATTTGGCAGAAAGAAGAATGAATTTATTCTAAACGCTGTATTTACAATGCAAGTGACTAGAGCTTATTATTCCAAGACAGTCATAAAGCATGAGAAGAAAAATACACTAACAAGTCTACGCTACTGCAAACCTAAGTGTAACAAAAGAACCTAGTATTTTTTGAGTTTACTGCCTTTTTGTGTAATTACCCGAGAAGAAACAAAAGCTGCATTCTAAAAAAATTGAGGGATTAAAAGACTTATGTACAACAAAAAAACTACTTTCTCAAAGCCGTAAATGAGCTTGAGACTATGAAGTCCATTTTAACAACACCACCAGTAAACATGTAAAAAACAATTTGAATAAACATACAACAAAGTATAACAAAAACTTCTCACAACCTTTCAACGAAATAAAGCAAACGTGAGATTCAAAAGCTGGAGTAAAAAGCAATTTCTCAAAGAGCACAAATTAAAAGAGTATGAGATTGAACAGATTAAAACAAATTAAGCAAAAAATTGTTCCACAACAAAAACAAGCAGATAAAGCCAGATCAAAAACCTAAATCTGAAGGCAATGCAAAAATAAATATTTCGACCAAAAAAGCAATTCACTCTCATTTTATACTTGCGAAGAAACCCCCTCTTCCTCAGCATGGCCTGTCGTTGCAAAACTGTCAAACCCATGCACCAAGGGGAAAGCGACATCGAGACTTTCAGATTTATCCTGCAAGCAAAGCCAAACATTAGCCAAGAATCGATATAAATATAAATATAAATATAAATATAAATATAAATAGATAAATAAACAAATATATATCCAATATAAAAATATATATATTAGTGCTCAACAAGCGAGCAAAAAAATTTTTTAACTATCTTACCAAACCAACTTCCTCATCTGGTGGTTCAACAATGAACTGGCAGTTTCGATCGGCTTCATCCGGCAACAAAGGAGCAGATTCCAGTTCTCGTGGACGCAAAATTGATTCACTGCCCAAATTTTCATTAGGTACATCTTCCTGCAAACAGTGATATTTATGGAACGACTATTTTTTGCAGGTATGTGAGATTCCCTGCCCTTTTGATTCCTTTTTTTTATTGAAGTCGCAAAAAACTTGAAACAATGCCCATCCAAACTTTGAAAAAAATTACCTCATTTAGATCAAGAATTCTGTTACTTAGCCACGACGGATTTTGAGCACAATATCGCTTAAAACTCTCGACCACCTCATCAAAAAAGGATCCATCAAAATGAGTTATAACACTATTTCCCAAAGATTCATTATGCAATACCATTATCAGTTCTCCAAGCTAAACAATCTCCATTAGAAAGCAGCTGTATAGCAATACTAAAATCCTGTGTCAATAAGAACACCCAACCACCACAAACATATCAAAAAAACGCAATATTACTATATCCCATTAAAATCACATCATCGGAAATCCTTTATTCTACTCAGTTCCAACCAGCTATCCAGAATGCAAAGCCTCCAACACCAACATAAAATTAAAGAAAAAAGATTGAGCTATCTCGCTTTATGTCGCTAATACAGATGCATCCTTCAAAATAAGCCTATGTATTGGCTAAATAAATACGAGAGCATCATCCAACAACTGTTCTGGGAAGCATTTTCACCCTTCCGAAGAAAACTGACCAAACTGCCGATTATAACGATCATTCCCCCTGGTCTCATCGAAGTTCGAGGTTTTGCGTCACAACTGATTATTTTGCAGTTTAAGAAATAAGTGGGTATCTCACTGGATCACCAGAAGTCAGCAGCCAATAGTTGCATTACTGAGAGAAAAAATAAGGCGATTTGGGTTGGGAACTTTATTCAAGGTTTAATGTCTACGGATTTACAACCATCCAGCATCTGAACGCCTCCATGGTCCGAAAATGATTTAACCGAGGAGCAGCAGAAAATTAACATGCAGAAGTTCACTAATATTAACCGTGTTGATTTTCTTCATAAGCCAGATATATAAACTGAGTACTTTTAATAAAATCGGAGGTATAAGTGTTATAAAATTTTAAATTTGAAATGGAAAAAAACAGAGAAGGAAAAAGTAAAGACCTTATTGCATATTAACCTATCAGTATTTCGTAAGCATTAAATTTTTATACTATCCTAAAAATTAATTTAACCTAAGGTCTACACTGCTGGCAAAATAAAATTTTATAGTCCACCGAGGACACTCCTGCAAATATCGCAGTGATTTAATTTGATGGTTCTAAAGTCTTAAAAAAATGCCTACCTGATTTGGTAATAGTAAAATGTAGACTGGAAAAGCTTGGATTGAAGAAGGAACAACGGAGAGCGAGGAAAAAGCAAAGTAGGAAAATAAAAAACGAGTATTCATTACTCGTTGGGACATACCATTTCTTGAAACAAACGCAGAAAGCTCCTAAATAAAGTTGCAAACTTAGCCTCCTTGCGCGTAAAAGCTTTTAATCAATAAAAATTGAAGCAATCGCGTAAAACTTACTGCATAAATATGGTTCATAGCAGTACCAAAAAGGTCAGGGTAAGGAAGTTCGCGTTTTAGTTTCCTTCCTTTCATTATTTCTGAAGAACCAGCAGAGAAAACTGTAAGCACAAAATCAACCTTATCCATAGTGTCAACCAACCACCTAGCAGGAATCATACCTAAAAGCTTCAACAAAGTACTCATTAATATAACTAAGAAAGAGTGAATAACTGTTAACGGCGTATCTGTCTTCTAAACTAGACGAAATTAATTACGACAAAAAATACAAACCTGGTGCATTTAGTTCAAACTGATCGACAGACACTTCCGCATTAGCATACTTTGTAAGAAATCGTGCAAGAGTTACAATACAATCTGAATACTCTTTACAATCATATGAGTAGACTATAAGTACTTTCGGGCGAGAAGTGAATGTTACAGTTCGATTTTCGAAAACCGTATTCCGAAAGACGTGCTCTTTCAAGGCAATAAAGGCGACCACAACAGCAGCTACGATAGAGAGTACTACTGCAAATCCTGATTTTCCATAATTTCGAGAAAAACGCGAATGACACTGCCAAGCACTTAAAGCCATTATTTCACGACATACAATTTCTACGCAAAGTAACTCAAAGCGATCATAACTTAAAGCAAAGGTTCAAGAAAAAAACAATATTTGTCTCGCCCCTACTCCCCATTTCACAATGAGTTAAAGAAAAAAATTACCTATCAAGGATAGCGCAAAAATTTTTGTAAAATCCTTCGCAACCTTGAAAACGTGATGTGTAAACGTAAACCTGTCCACTAAAACTGAAAACCTTATAGAATGGTTCGCACAAACTTCACAGTCATCACAATCCATAAGGCACGAATTTTCATCAATTACAGCCACAACTGTATAATTTCCAGCTGCAACATTGTTCCATTTGACACCAGTTGATGGAGGATACACCGTTTTTTCAAATACTCTAGGACAATCTTTCTCGTATTCTCCGCTGCAAACGATAAACCTGACGGAAAAACTGCGCGTGTTCTTAAATGACTCATTGTAGGAACGGTAATATCGTAGCCAAACACCCTAAAATTGTAAAATTTAATTATTATTATTTGCGACACATTGGCTAGTAAAAATTCAAAAGTTACTTTGGCAGTAACGATCATAACCTAAATAACTACTGCTCCAAACAACTCAAATTACATTATAGACACAACTAATGGTTTACTTACATCAGACGGCGTCAAATCAACAATAATGAAAGGGCTGTTAACTGAGGCGTCATAATACCCGGCAAGCTTAGGATGATCAGCTGCAACTGGCGAGCTCACAGCAAATTCTGACCTGCAACGCCACGTTACAATGAACGAACTTGTTACAATCTTCAAAAACTTCTTAGAAAAAGAAATTTACTGAAGTTCATTTAATGTCTAAAAGCAAAAAAAATATTAATGTGAGATGAGTCATCCGTTCCTTGAGCTGATAACTTACGTGCAATTCTGAGGTACCAGCGAAACCGTAACAATGTAGGTATTCAAACCAGTTAACGTAAAACACGCAAACGAAATTGAAAATGGATAACCTAGCCTATTTGGATCAACAATAGTCCACGATCTGCACGGCGAAGTCTTCTACAAAACAAAAACATTTGTAAAACAGGATACCTCCTGATAAAAAATAACACCAAAAGGCAAATTCACCGAGTTTTATTAGTAAATCATGTGCGAAATTAATCACAAAAACAGCACCAAGATAACAAAGAGAACTTGTAATAAAGTTTCAGAGATGTTCAACCTCAAAAGCTTCTACCTAATAGTGGTACTCAACTTACTGACCAAACTTTCCGCACAGTAAGCATCTGGCCGTTTAACAGCATGATGGCAAGATATACGTATAAACAGCAGAGATACTGGTGAGTAAATTACCGGGGTAACATTGAGAACCAGATGAGGGTAACTGTAAATTAAAATCTCGAATTTCAGAGGCAGATATCTTTTACTACACACATACTTTGTATCAAATACAATGAATGGTAAGTTCACACGAAGTAAATATTTTTCGCGAATTTGAAAAAATGCTTACAAATTCTTCTTTTCCAGTGGTTCATGCTTCAATACAACATCAAGATCTTTTTGCTCGCAAGGTTTAGAACCATTTAACAATGAAGGATAGCTATGCTGAAGGTAATCGCATTGCAAGGAGTTATTTTGAAATAAAAACTGCTCCGGTTTGCACTCTTCACCGTCGTATAAATAGCAGTTATACCGTGGCCAACAACCAGAAGCCAAACAGAAAAAATTTTGAACGCAGTCATTACAGAGAAATACTATCAAAATGACTGAGTATCGAAAATGCCGTCCTAATGAAAAAAAATTACAAAGGTGTAACATTATTGTTTTTCTTCTAAAGATTTCTCTTGCTCGGAGTCGGTCTTTTTTTCCTTTTCAGTATTTTTCGAAACTTCTGCTTCCGCAGCAGCTGCAGTAGCAGCAGCAGCTAGATCTCGATATTTCCGAGCGCGTACAAAAGTTTTCGGATGAATCGGGAAAAGGCCAGCAATACCTGCGTAAAAACCGTATCCATAATCTTGTGATGTTAAAAAAAATATCAGTCTTTAACAGCAGCAAGCTCATACAACTAGTATTAGCTAAAAAACTCCAAAAGACGAAGAAGTTAACCAGGAACAAACATTTTTATATACTTAATAAAATCATCTGACTAAAAATCCAAGATAAATTTACAAGTCGCTTAACGACGATCAAGACTTTTTTTCATTAATAAAAACCTACCAAGCAGCTCTAAAAGTGTGGCTGAAACACGGGCGTTCCGAACTCCAAACCAATATTTTAGGCGAAGGATGTCAATTGCAACAAGTTTTTCGTTACGAGAATTAGGTAGGGGATCAAAAGTTCCAATCTGTAACAGATTCGCCATGAAAAAGTTATTAAAAGATGAGCTAAGTTTGATATTTATCAAGTAAACCTGTTCAATAATATTTCCCTCGTAACGCCGGCCAAGACTTTTGTCAGGAAAGACACAGATTTGGTAGAATGGACGATTTGCGCATCCAAAACGTGCAAGACCAATTGATGGAATACCAAAATTCTTAAAAGGCACCAATGTTCGCATATTCTTTGAACTGTAAAATCAGCATCCGAACACTTCCCGTGTAGTCTAAAAGAAAATGTTCAATTAAAACTGCACCAAAGAAAGCAAAATTTGCCGTCCCATTTGACCGCAAACTTGAGGCTCAACAGCGAAAACTTTCAGACGAAGGCAAGCGACAAAAAAAACTAGAAATACCGCTCTTAACGACAAATTTAACACTTCTTTTATCCATGACAAATGCATATGCTGGCGATGAGCACTCCCAAAGTAGTATACGCCACTAATTGGTTGGCAACAGTAAAAGTCATAAGTTTGCCATTTCCTGCACTAACTCAAATTTTAATAAACTCGTAACTGTACTGTAAACGACATCAGAAAATTTTTCACTTTAAAAATTTACTCTCTTCACCGCTACTAAACAAATCTTATCAAACATTTTGGTGTAAAAGAACGTCGATTGGCAAAATCCCAAAGAATGTTGGGAACAGTCCAATACGATAGAAAACCTTGTTACAGGGCTATGCGTATAAATTTCAAGAAGGTCGTTGCGGCTTTGCAGAAGCAATAGTTCCAGAGGAGGCCCCCTAAAGTTTCATTCCATTTGCAAAAAACTTCCTAGCTTACAGCCTCTGTATGTTGTTTTAGAGGTCATAATTTTTCTTATAAAGTCAAAAGTTATAAAATTTTGATTTGTTCTTTCCCATAATAGAACCCGAGTGACTCCTCTTCTGTTCTGTTAATGGCGTCACAATACCCACGATTTGCTGCCAAAACAAATTTTTGCGGCTTAACACGGTTGAAAAGCAAAATTTATCGTCCAGGGATACAGTTACTTTAAATTAATAGGCGATATATAGGGCACTTTGAAATGCCGTATTCGTCGTTCTAGAAATCAACCGTGAAAGTAACTCATACTGGTGGCTGTGAGAACCTTTAATACAAAGAGGCCTCAAGTGAATAAGAAACCTGTAGAAGCTATTTGTCAAATGCGTAAGGAACTGTAATATTTGTGTAGCTGTACGGTGGCGGCTTTTATTGATAAATTCAACGCTAAAAAAAGTTTCAGAAAAACCGGAGACTCGATCTGTAGCTTGCAGAAGCATTGTGGTCCATTTTTCCAATGGACCTTTTTTTGGTGCTGAGAGATACAACAAAAATTGTAAAACTATGTTTTAAATTTTTTTCAAGATCATGATGTGGACGTGGTTAGAAATCTCAAAACTTTTGCAGTAACATATATATAGGCGGGTTCATCTGCAGTTTGGTGTGAAAATTTGTCGGGGCAGGATGAGAGGTACAGTAGTTAGATCGGCTGGCAACTCACTAAAAATTTGTGACCTACGTCCACAATAGGCGTCGTTTAACTGGTCTATTTTTGGGAACCTGCGGATATTTTCTGACATCATTCGACCCCCTCAGAACTGTAGCTATCGATCTATTGCTATCGCATATTGATCTATAGCGCGTCGTTGTCAAGATATTTGCCGAAATGTGACGTTGAAGCTCATTTTTAAATTGCCATTTTTCTGTGATTTTGTATTGAAAATTGATGAAGTTTGAATCATGAGATTTTTTTCTTTTCTTGCATTTAGGTTTCTTGAAGTGTGTTTTTCTGAAAAATGAAATTTGAGGGTTTGCCGAGCTTTTTTTTGCAAATTTGCTTTTTGTCGAAAGAAGTTTTTACAAAGTGTGTAGGCATACAGCTGGCCTGACTGGTTATATCCGCCTACCAATGAACTCTAATTTAT